ATACGTCGAAATATTGGAGGAAGGACTGTTGCCACTTTATTCCTTGGGTTTCGTGGACAAGAACACAACTTTGTTCCAGGAAGATAGAGCATCGTGTCACACTGCTAGAAACACCCAAAAGTGGCAGGAAGAAAACGGTATCCAGAAGTTGCCCTGGCTGAGCCAATCTCCTGACATGAACTCCCATTGAAAACCTCTGGGCCATACTCAACCGGCAAGTCAAGAAACAACAAAAAAACCAACTTTGAAGAGCGACCTACTCCAAGTTTTGAAGCAAAAGTGGGCGAAAATCCCACAATCTAAAATTGACGAGATGATTCTTACGATGCCCCAAAAGATCAACAAACTCCACGAAGCGAAAGGAAGATCTACTAAATATTAATTAAATTATAAATATATCAATTCATGTGAATATGACTGAAAAATTTCATTTTTTCTGAAAAGGTGGTGTCTATTTACTTGTGACCACGCTGTGTATATAGCCCTCAAGTAGCTTTGCAGGAAATTCAACAGATAAGTTACATTAGGTACTCATAAGAATATTTCTTGTTCTCAGCTCCTCAATTGTTTGATACTAATATCTGTAAAACCTTAACTCTTTTATGTTCTATTCAAAGGTGTTGGGACACCTAGAATATTAAGGATTTCCCATGACTTGTCTCTGCTAAGCATATAGGCAAATCTACTTGTAATTATTAACCTGTAGATAAATAGGTTATATTTTTTCAAACACTGTAACAAATCACACATTTAACTGTTTGATATTGTGTTTCTCAGAGTCTAAGTTTAGTTAATTAGTATTGTACAATTATGATTTTGTCTCTGTAGCTGCTTTTTTGCATTTACTAGAACTGATCAAATTACACTGTTGATATAATTAATTAATTAATTAATTTTTTGTTTTACTTTGAAATACAGATTTTTCGCAAATACTTGTATCCTGCTGTACAGAATGTTTTATGACAAAATTTCTGAAATCTGATTGGAATTTGAAATTTAATTTGAATTTCTTCTATTAAACCAAAAATCAACCACAGTGCAAGATTTTTTGATTCAAGTTTTTAGTCTTATTTCGGATGTTATTGGAATGAAATTTATCTTATTTCTTGATCATAATCAGATTGGTTTGTTAATCTTATTTAATATTGCCTTAACGTTGTTAAATAAGATGTAACTATGGTTGATTATGTTTCTTGTCTAGTAAGAAAATGCTTTTAAGTTTACAGTTTAAAAAATAGTCCATCATAACAGACCTTAATTGATTTCTCATTGTTTCACAAATAGAGATTTAATTTTACATTCTGTGTGAATAAACTGTGAACATTTTTGCATGTTATTTTTATGATTCACTGATAATAATAAAAAATCAACAAATAAAACTGAAATAAACAAAAAAAACATAAATATCTTTTCCATACAAATAGAAGATCATATTAAATCACTATTACTAATGCTTATTGATGCCAAGGGTATGCTAGAACAACAAATCACTTAGTTTATTACAGTCAGATATAAGTAATGATATAGTTTCCTTTTTGTTGTTGGAAGCCATGGCCAATGCATATCAGCAGTCTTTATGATGGTCATGTGTAGTAGATTTAAAGTTAATTAATATGAGCAATAATTTTTTGTATGGTAATAGTTTTGTATCTTGTTTAAGGAACAGGCTTGTTTGGATAAGTAAAGTTATAGTGGTTCTTGATTTTTTTATATTGCAGCAGCTAGAAAGAAGAAATGGGTGGATTAACGTAGGAGATCTTCAAGGAGCCATTCATTTTAAGATAGGTAAGTATTTTTATGGTTTCTAACTTCCTTATAAAATAACTTGTTCTTTAGGTTTTGTTCTTCAAGATGATTATTGTACCATATGTATTTGAGAACAAGTTTTTGGCAACTTGTCACATGGTTCCTCATGAAAAAAATAAGCAATACTTTTTCTAGATTATAAGCTATCTGAACTGGGTTTGGTTAAGACTATGGGAATTTAAACAGAATGGTAAAGTGATATTTTATGTAACACAGCTGTGTTTTAATCAAAGAATGCCACATGTATCTCAATATATTTCCAAGGCTTCAAGATTAATATACTTATGTGTACAGACTTTGATATTTCTAAAGGTTTTAGTTAAGAAATGTGATTATCTCCTATATTATTTAGCTTTGCAGATAAAAGTTCAAAACAGCAAACTTCTGTGTAACCTTCTTTGGAGTATCAGTTTTGATCTATATAAAATTGTCCGTGTACTGTAAAGACTGATCTAGATAAATTTAATCAAACATTTGTTTTGAGATATTAATGATGGAAAAATAGACAATAATGAATGACAATTGTGTCAAGGTAATGACTCTTTTTGACCAGCCTTTTACATTTAAATGTAATTACATAAAAATATTTGAAATCATTCTAATTATTCTCTTCTTGGCACAGAAAGTAGTTTAGCTTTTATATGTTAACTCACAAATATGTTACTAACAAAAATTCTGTATGAAATTCAATAATTTAGTTTTTGTTAACCCTGTCATAACCAATGAGTACTTTTCAGGTAATAGGTGCATACCTGCATGTCAAAAATCCAAATTTAAGTAAAATTGATGATTCTAACTCTTTGTTTTTCAAAAATGTTTTTTTTCACAAATATTTTTGAATTGATAATTTGTTGTTTTGAAACATTTATTTAGTGTAATTCACAAAGAGAAATGTAAACAATGTTCAAACATTTCTTCACAGTTCTAGCCACTAGGAATAAACAGTACTTATCAATGTTTTTAGAAAATCTCAGCCCATCTCGGAACATTAGTTTTTATTAATTAAGAAACTACCATCCCTTGAGAATATAATTAAAGTCTTGTTCTATCCCGATTTTCCTTCTCTGTCTGAAGATTTATTTATTTCAGTCCTCTATTATACCATATGCTGTAAGGTCAAATATGAATGGAAGCAATTACTAATGAAGAACAGTTTTGAAAACAGCTATAAGCAAAGTTTAAGTGTCAATAACTAGAGCAGACTATAACTATTTATGTCACTGTAAAGTGAATGATGTAGTGTGAGAATTAATTTATAGTTTTGCAAGAAATTGATTCCATGTAGTTCCTGCCAAAAACAACATAAATTAGTGTGAAATTTAGAAGAGTTAGGAACGAAACAGATTTGGGATATATTTTATATACTTTATTTAGATGTTCTAAACATTTTTGAAAACGATTTTTGTATTAACTTATATTTACTTGAAAGTTATCAGTTTTACTCAATGAAAAAAGATCAGGTATAAGGCTTTATTAATATATTTATTAGGTATAAATTGATTACAACCAAGAATATTGTTATCTATTCTGACCTGAAACCATTCTAAAAGGTGAAATCGGATGT